TTCTTTCAGCCAATAATATGCCACCTAAATCGACGTTAACAAAGCGTAAACGCGCTGTTGAATCGCAGTCAGATACTTAGTTTACCTTTAAGCAAGAGCTTAGGGACATTGCTGCTGAAAACCTTGTCCCCCCTGCCGCCTCAGTTAATGCACCTACATCTGACGGAAACCCACCAACTAAAGAAGATATAGAGGATGATAGCCTATATAAGGACAATTTTAATGGTATTAACTAGGGTTGATTACTAGAGTTTATAAAGCCGCTTACTATGTTAAAGCAAAAGCTAAGCTGGGTTTTCAGCTATAGCTATCAGATCACGCTTCGCCGAAATCCTTAGAAGATTTTCTTCATATATAAGTACTGCCATTAACACAAAATTATTAACACAAGAGGAAAAGGTAAGTATAATGTTACATTACAAACATCTACTGCTGCGTAACACTTAATGGAGAATAAGAAGAGCCATAATCTTCATTCAAATAGTAAAAGGGCCCATAGTCTTCCAGCTAGCCAACAGACTCTCCAGGGGTTAACTGTATAAAATGTTAATATCCCTTAGGAAATTAGTAATGCCCTAGGTAACTTCAACATTTAGCACTTTTAATTAAAAGCTATTAATTAGCTGGTTGAAAACAATCATTCTTTACGTGAATTCAAATTACTAGCTTTTAAAATAATGATAGATACTATAAATCCTGAAGCAGCTTCTGCTCTATAGGCTAATTACTAATTAGTAACTTATTATATTCTTACCCTGTATAATGTTCTTCTCCTAATTGTTTGAAGCCACATTACAAAGGCTCTCTTAAAAATACACATAACATTTAATAGCTAGACTATAAAGGGTGGTAAGAAGGCTTTTTATAGAATACACATACATTACCTTAATAAGAAAGGTAAGATTAATAAGTACCTAATTTCGCTGCTCTAGCTATTAGGTAGATATACTAGAGTCAGGATTAAAAACACAGTATATCAGACCCTACAGAAATTCAGGATTAATAAAACATGAGTTAGATTTTTCGTACTGGATAACATAGAGCTAAATATAACTACTATTTAGCACCTTAAAGAGCTCTATAGTTTTAACCTAAAACACTAACAATTACAATATAGTCCTCATACAGTTAATATTATTAGGCAAATAATTATATACAGAGTTAATAAAGAGGCCTTTAAGAATGAACTATTAAATCTTATAGAAAAACTATAGCTTCTTAAGGAATAGTAATAAGAAGACCCTTTTAGTGAGCTTATAAACATACTTAACTATATCTATACACCTTAGTAATATGACTTAATTAGAGAGTTCCAGCAGGAGGACGCTAAGCAATTATCTAAAGAGATTTTTAATAAAAAAACGTTTAAACCTTTATTAATTATTAAGCTAGTACCCACCTGCTGGAACTTCTTTTACGTAGTCTTTAAGCAAGCTTTAGAGATTACCTCATTAATTAACTCGTACATGTAATATCATATTAAGAGATATAAGAAAGAGACTGCCTTATATTATGTAAAAGGATCTAAAGCAAAGAAACCTACAGTACCTTTATAGATAAAAGGTAATAGACTTTTAGCAGTAGATTAAGCAGTAATTACTAACTACATTCGCATCTTAAAGCTGTTAAAGGATGTGACTTAGAGACTTAAAGGCAGGGGGAAATCTAGCTAATTTAGCATAATACACAAAATTATTTCTATATTTAAATACATCCTACACTCGTACGAAGCAATGGTTGAAGGCCTTACTAACGTCAATTATAATAAGCCAGATGCGCCAGAAGATTACCAGAAGTATAATATTAAGGCTGCTTAAAAGAAGCTTTGAAAGTACTATTCAAAGCTTAACAATTTACCAGCTTACTACGCCGTGACTATCCTGCATCTGTACTATAAGTTTTACTATAATAACTCTTAGCAGAGACACTAGATTTAGCTTAATAATAATAAGACAGCCTTTATTAAGCTTTAGGCTACGTACAAAGACAATCCAGATCTGGTAACTCCTCTAAGGAAAAGGGTAGCAGTTTCTGATATACAGGACCAAATTAAGCAGCTTACAAATCCCTAGAAGAACTCTATTAATGACAAGAACCTTAATGAGTTCGCGCACTAAAAGAGAGATGAGCTAAATCTACCCTAGAATTACCTACATTTAATTAATCCGTTTACCTATTAGATGTCCCTACGTACGACTTACCCCTAGCTCTCAAAAATGGCCCTTAATATCCTATTAATTCTGGCCTCAAGCTGCGATTGTGAGCGCATGTTTTCAGAGCTTAGCGATATATTAGAGCCACAGCAGAAGAAGCTATCTACACATCTAATTGCAGCAATTTAATGCATACGGGCGTGGAGGAAGCATGGATTCAGGCGTACGTACATCCATGAGGCTTGTATTACATATAACTAACAACTACAGCGCCCAATGAGATTGTACTACCCCAGGAGCTGTCAAACGACGCCCTTAATACAATATACAAGCTTGCTGAGTGGGATTTAGAAGACTCGGAGCTGTAAACAGTCTCTACGCGATGCCCTGACAAAAAAAAGTGTATTAGTAAGCTACATACAATCAATCAATCAATTCTCAATCCAATTTGACCCTACAAGGCCTATCAATCAATCAATCCAATTTACGACTTCAAAAATTGGCAATCAATTCAATCCTAGGGGGTTTTGATTGATTGATTGATTGTTAGCAACTGTGACGCACAGGCCTTTTTATAAGCGCTATAGAAATCTACGAGGATCAACCGAAGGCTTGAAAAAGTTTGCTTTAACCCTCAATACCAAAGGTTTCGGTAAAATAACAGCTCACCATCAGTAGAAGTCACATGCAGAGATTCGAACTTGTTCAAATCATCAACGCACAGCCAAGTTCCTCAAATTTTCTATTTAAAATCCAACACATCCTGCTAAATCTCAATGTTCAATTACACTAGCTGGCTGTTGCTCTCATCCTCTTCATCGCTGTCGAGATCTATCTTAGTAGCTCCGTGATAGTCTTTCTAGAAAAGTGACCTACCAGGGGAGCTTCTACCTCATCCACTGCTCCCGGATCGATATTCTCAGCTTTTCTACATCCTTGGCCTCTTGAATTAGCTTGATTGGCGCCGTTAGTGTGTTGATACCGCGTCGATACCTCGAGATCTTCCAAATCCAAAATCGTAATTGTTGCCGTGAGAGCGACCTCCTGGTCGGACATACTATTAGCCGGCTTGGCATATCTTCGCTGTATATAGACTCTTCTTGCCCTCCAGCTTCTCAGGTCCTTAATGCAATCTTGTTCAGTCTCTCAGCCGCTCAACAAGCTCGATGTACGGTAACAGTAATTACTGTTCCTACATCGGATGAGCAGACTCGTTAACAAGCAAGCCGCTTGCTCGCTCGTTAGGATGAGTCCTCATCGGAATGTCCTAGAGCTTCTGTTACCGTAAATTAAGCTTGTTGAGCGGCTGAGAGACTGAACAAGATTGCATTAAGGACCTGAGAATCTAGAGGGCAAGTAGAGTCTATATACAGCAAAGAATTGCCAAGCCGGCTAATAGTATGTCCGACCAGGAGGTCGCTCTCACGGCAACAGCTTCTGTGGCCTTCCGCTTCGAACTCCGTAGCGCAGGTTTCGATTTTGACTTTGTAATCGCCTTTTGGACGCTCCTTGGGACCTACTGGACATATTTAAACCATATATTGATGCAAATAGACGACCCTTAGATGGATGCTATGAGTAGAGATAGGTGCAGTAGAAACAGTGCATTTAGTGAGATACTGTAAGTATCAAACGCAAAATAGAACGGTGCGCCATCACTGACGATTAGATCTACCAAATGACGATGAAACTACTCAATGGAGCGTTAGCGAGTCAATCTACCAATCTGGGTTGAATAGATCTTAGATAGACAGATAGATTCTGGATTCGATCAAGTACATGTCGGGCGCTGATCTGTGCCAATAACGACAGCACCAGATGCCGCCAAACTACAGGAATCCGGCCTAACGAGCTTCGAGACAGATGCCGCGGGCTATATTAACAGATAGGAATATTTCCAAGTCGACTGCTGTTCTCGCAACTGAGGAAGAAACGCGCCTTCAGACGGCTTCTTTCGTTAACTCGACTTAAGATTTCCAGTTCTCATTTCGTAGCGGATTCCGCCAACAAATTTAATAAAGTGAAAGGCCAACAGAGTTCAGTATCTGTTAGATTATCATATCGTCTGGCCTGTATAGTGTGCGGGACGGTCATATCTGGGCCGTATGCGAAAGAAACCTGAATTGTAATTATCAAAGGTCTAAAACTTACGGCAACAGAAGGGATTACTTGTGCAAATAACGTAACATAGTATACTAGACTAACGATGCTCATCTCAAGCGTAGAGAGGAGAAGCATCAGAAGCTGTGAGACCGCGCTATCACGTTACCTTCTCGGATAGATGCTCTCCCGACTTGACATTCATGTTGTACATATAAATCTCCATGGTGAGTGCGAATCCTCAGTCAACAATGCAATCATCTGCACTTACATTAAGGCACCCTTGGTTAGAGATGCCAATTACCATACCACGCCGCCAGGGTCGGGACCACTCACAGTCTATATTAGAGACAAAACCGAAGGACAGTGACTTCCGGTCCGCGGTCTCTTAATGCTCCAGGGCCAGAATTTCTCCCAATCAAACGCCCCTCAGACTTCTTCTTAGGCTCGAACACAGCCGGTTATGATCAATTCTAAGTTGCATGTGGATATCGACGGAAAAGTTTCTCATGTCCTACGCATTAGCAGTTGCAGAGATTTGACGGAATAATCTATCGTGCGACAACGCTCCACTATATACCTACCCTCCTAGGGCTGAAGTGTTTCTTGTGCGGGAAGCTTCGCTTATTTCGGACCTGCTTTCACGACACGGAGTAAATAAAAGTAAAAGCAAAAGGGGATGGGGGCGGGGATAAAGGCGGGAGTAATGATGTTTTACCAAAAATGGTAAAAAAAGGTAAAAAAAGTTGACCCGTGCCCGATTCGAACGGGCAGCCTTCAGGATATACCTTGTTTGTGAGGAAACTGGAATCTGACGCGCTACCATTGCGCCAACGGGCCAGTTGTGACAGATTTTTAATAAGTTTTTGAAATTAAATTATATATCAGGTAATATATTTGCGTTTGGCTCATCCTTGCAGGGTTTTCGCTGACCACTTGCCCCGCCAAGTGCGACATGACTCATACGTCACCCTCGCCCTGTCAATCCCCCACCAAACCAAGACAACAACTATACATCTCCATAATAACTTCGAAGCATCCCACTCGAACTCTTTCAACTCTATTATAACTATTTAGGACATCTTTTAAGGGCCAGTGGTCTAACAGTTCCCCCTACCCCTCAAGCTCCGAGGAGACGGTTAGAGGATTTTACGATGTTAGATCTAATTGGCCTTTACAATAAATTGGCCTTTACAATATGAATCCATCTCGGCAGAGGAGTCATCTTCATTGTCATCTTCATTGTCATCTCCATCCCCTTCCTCGACCGCATCGTTATCTCCTTCGCCGTTTACATCGTCATCCTCGTCCCATCCGTCACATCCTTGACCTTCTTTTCGTCCGGATCTAGGCATGGGTCCTGGGAGTAAGTTAGTTTGTGCCCCTGTCCAGCAACAACGAGGCGACGAGGAAGCTTTTCCATTCCCACCGTTATGTTCCGTCTTTCTAAAACGTTTGTTGATGTATTTGCTGCGAACATTTTCTTTTCCCGACGGTTGTCAGCCATTCCCTGAAAGGCTCCCAAAGTCATCGGTTCCTTTAATGGTGATTCCAATGGGAATACGATGGTGGATTTTTCATAAAGCCTGTATAGCAAAGCAATGGGGTAGATCTCAGATTTTCCCTTGACTAAATCGCATCGAACGTTTACCTTCGTTCCGTAAGTTAGTGGAATGTTGTTCCGAATACCGGAACCGTAACTTCTACAACAATTGTCTGCCTGGGTTGACGAAAGTTAGAGATTTTATTAGACTCGTATATGTACTTTCTTTCTTACAACAAGCTGCTTGGCAATATTTCATTAATTCACAGCTATCTGCTTCCCTCACGCATTCTAACTTTTGTTCGTAGTTCTCTTTGAGGACAGAATTCGGTAACTTTCGGGATCGTAGCATCCACGGGCTAACTTCTAGTACTAGGGTTGAATATTACAATGCTTCTAGTGGAAGCCATTATTCTTTTATTTCTTATTCTATAGAATAGAAAATTATTGTATATTTAAAAAATTTAATTTAAATAATTTATTCCCGTTTATATCTCCATTTATAAAAACTTTTTTCTAATTATATTTAATATTATTATATGAACTAAATAAAAACTAAATAAAAATCTGAACATGGAACATAAAGTGTACACTCCGTACAAGGCCCTTATATCCTGACTCTCACCCTTACAGCCCCTACAACCTCGCTCTCTCCTCTCCGCCCTCCTTCGAAAACACCTCCGTTTCCATGAGCCGGTCATGCTGCCACGTCAGACTCTGTACCACCTTTCGCTTACCGCAAAGTGTACTTGATGGAACCGGGGAAAAGGCATGAACCACATCCCACAGTCGACGATCTCGCGCTCGCGGTCAGAGGTCCGGAAGAAGGTGTCTCCATTACAGGGCTTCAAGTCATAGGTAGTTCTCGGCTTACCTTGCATTGAGACATGCAGACCCGCATCTTGTGCCGTAACCACGATCTTGAAATTACACGGCGCAATGAAGGATGTCCCTGCCTACACAGCCAGTGGGTGCGTGGGAGGAATATCTGTTTTAACGCTGTCCAGGAAAGATGAGAGCTGATCGAACCAGCCAAGCTGTATCTCCACTGCCGTGGTTGAGAGGCTCGGGAGACTCTGAGCAGTTTGGTGTCAAGCAGAACAGACAGCAGGAGTCGTGCGCTGAAGTCTGCGGCGTCCATGCGTGGCGTTGCGTTTGTCATGACGACGACGCCGCTGTGCGTCCGGGGCACGAGAAAAATGGCGCCGACAAATCCCTGGGTGGTAGCGCTATGGTGGAATATCTCTTCCGTAACCACTGCTCTTTCTACAAGGCATGATCAAGGCAATACCAGCCTTTCATGTGTCTCCTTCCAAAACCACTGCGCACCCATCTTGAGTCTTCCAACTCGATTCCAACGCCTAACATGGCTGTAGTTCTCCCTCTAGTCCTCTGCCTAGTAGCGAGCTATGTAGTCACCTCGATAATCTACAACCTCTTCTTCCACTCGCTCGCTAAAACCCCCGAAACCCTCCTCGCCCGCATCTTCTCGCTTCCCTCCTTCTACCATGCCTGGAAGGACGACCGCCACACCTGGATCTGGCAGAATTTCCAAATCTTCGGTACTGTTCCCCCCAAAAGTCCACGCTTGAGAGTGGCAAGCTGACGCAGAGACAGATGACAAATTCCGCGCCACCCCAAACCTCATCCTCTTCAACACCACGCGCGCCTACGCCGACCTCTACGGCGCCTGCGCCAATACCACCCGCAGCAACTTCTATAAGCCTGGGTGCGCAACAAGTATGATGTCAATACTATCAATGCCACCGACCGCGTGCTTCATGCGAAGAAGAGGAAGTTGCTGGAATCTCGCTTTCACCGAGCAGTCGCTCAAGACCGCGGGCCCGTTCATGGCGCGGCATGTTGACCGATGGATCGAATTGTTGACCCACGGTCTAGAAGATGGAAATGGCATCGGCGGGAGGGAAAAGGGGGATGCCGAAGGTTGGTCCCCAACCCGGAACATGGCCATGTAGATCGACTACCTCGTCTTCGACTTCCTGGGCGACTTGTGCTTTGGTGGAGCTTTAACACCAAGGAGCAGGGCGAGAACAAGCTGAAGAAGCAGTCGCATCTGATCATGAAGCAAGTGACCGTTGGGTACAAGGTAAACATTCCCATTCTTGTGGTTTCCATTGTTGAAGAAGGACATAATAAATAGTTCGCCAGATCTTCAAATCTCCCCTCCTCGAACTGATCCTTTATCTCAAACCCCGCGGCCTAAATACCCTCATGGAGCTCGCCCACCACCAGGACGTCAAATAATACTCTATCTTCATCGACGGGAGTGTCGACAGACGCATCGCCGCCTACAAAGCCCGCTCCTCTAACCCCGACTCATCTTCCGCCCGGTCCGCGATGGCATGTTCCACTTCCTGCTCACAGTCACACCCGATACCAACCTCCCCGCTTTCAGCCACGACCACCTGCTCTCCGAAGCCCGCCTCCTCGTCCTCGCCGGCACCGACACCTCCACCATGACGCTCTGCGGCGTGTTCTTCTACCTCACGCACGATCCACGGGTGCTCGCCAAACTAACTGAAGAAATCCGCTCCATCTTCTTCTCGGCTGAAAAGATTGTCCAGGGAATAAAGCTGAGTAAATGCAAGCACCTCCGCGCCTGCATCGATGAGACTCTCCGCATGGCTCCGCCCGCCCCAGCGAACTCCTCCACAAAGTCCTTCCCGGCGGCGCCGTTATCGACTGACATCACTGCCTACCGGCACAGTCGTCGGCTGCGCAGGCTGGGCTCTGGGCCGCGACGGAGCCGTGTACGGTAACTCCCAACACCCACCGCCCTGAGCGCTGGATCCCGTATTCGCACCCAGATTCTTTCAACTCCGAAGCCGATGTGGAGTGGCTGAAGAAAGGGCTCCATCCTTTTCTATCGGACCCAGGAACTGTGCGGGACAGAATGTCGCGCTTTTGGAGCTGTTGCTTGTATGTGCGAGGACGGTTTGGAGGACCGATGTTAGGTTAGCGCCCGGGCAGACTGTTGGAGAGAAGGCCGCGAGTTAGGATGGGGACAGAGGGGTCGCAGACGGTTTATGGTTAAGGATGCCTTCCTTTGTTTGAAAGAAGGTCCCCTAGTCCAGTTTAGGCAGAGGCTGGAGTAAGTGTGGATAGAAGGAAGTGAGTAATATGAAGTGGTAGATTGTGGGAGAGAGGAGAGGTAATATTGGTTTGCATATCTTTACATGGTTTCGGGCTATCTAGCCCTTCGGACAGCTAGCACATCGAAGATTAAGATATGAAAGGCAGCAAGGGACGGGATACATGCTTTATGCGTATATCTATTTAATAAATTGGGGCTATGCCCGTCCCCTCTTTTCCTCACATTGTCCCTATCTTTTCAAAATATTCAACCTTGTGATCTGTCCAGGGCCTATTCATTGTTTATGGACTGTATAGAGACGTTGGACTAGCCGATCTGTCTGACAAAGGTAGTTCTAACTCTGTAAAAGCATACTTCCGGGAGTAGAATTAGACATTGTCTAGAATAATTGTTCACTCTTTTCGGTTCCCATAATAAAATTACAGCGAATTTTTCCTTAAAAAAAGGCGATGTAGAGCTAGATATGCTCATACTACTATAAGCTACTTTTAAAATACGTAGTTGTTTTAATATTTTAAATTTATTACCTAAATTTACTTTAAGTAGATATATTTTCTAGTATACTAGTGCCTCGGTAACTACCCGCGACAACTTCTAGGGCCTTCTGTGGAAGCCTTGTAAGCCGGCTAGGTAACTAATGAGGAAGAGGATTGATTGTCCAAGCTAAGACTTCCGAGCTGCCATTTATATAAGAGATTGCAGGCGAAGGCAATTGCCGAGTCAGCTGAGCGACTAGCCTATTTCTGCATGCATGTGTGCACGGCTTACACCTTCTTATTAACAACAACCCCCCACATGGGCGGCCGAATCTACTCCCCTGGGTTGGACAATTCGAATGCATTTGAAATCTTCGATTTATTTTTTACGGACGAGCTAATCGATCTACTTGTTTATTTCACCAACATTATACAAGGAAAGCCCAAATTAACCCGCAGAAAACCTGCCTATAGAAGAAAGCCCAGATCTTAGAATGGAAGGATACATCAAGACCAGAGATTGGCGCATATTTTGGAGTGCTTATTTATATAGAACTATAAGGAACTAGCCATTGTCGACTATTAGAAAAAGGAAACTACGTATACGCCTCGCCATCTAATAGCTCAATGGATGTCTAGGGACCAGTTCCACGCTATTAATCAATGGCTGTACTGCAAGAACCCTAGCAATCAGCGGTATTTACTT